CTAACTACCCCTTCAAGGGGAGCAAATTGCTAGAGCCTGGAGATTGTACAAAGAACTTCCACGGCACACATAAGCACAATTAAAGCACTTAAAATACATGTAAGAGCAGTAAATGCGCAGGGTCGTGGCAAGAGGTGTGGAGTTAAAAGATAAAGAATCACACATAAAGTGGGAGTTGTCACAGTTTGCACTCTTTGCTGATGACACTGTGCTCTTGGGAGAATCTGAAAGAGAAAAGGTTTGCAGAGATTGGTGGATGGGATTGGTTGGGTATTATGCAAAAAGAAGAATTAAAAGCGAATACAGGAAAGAGTATGGTTCATGGAGGATAACAAAAAGATGTTAGGTGATGACAGATTTGGATATCAGATTGGAGGGGGAGAGAGTGTTGGGAGGTGAAGGTATTCAGATATTTGGGAACAGTGGACCGTGTAGGGATGGGTCTTATGAAAGATGAGGTGAATCTTAGAACTGATGAGGGGAAAAGGGTGAGTGGTGCACTTAGGAGTTTTTTTGTTTGGGGGGTGGAGAACAAAGAACTTTGTCCATGGAGGCAAAGAGGGGAATGTATGAGAGTATATTTTACCAACGCTCTTTATATGGGTCGTGAAGCATGGGGTGATGATGTTGCAGCGAGGAAGAAGGCTGGAGGCAAGTGGAGATGTCCTGTCTGAGGGCAATGTTTGTGGTGTGAAATATCAATGCAGAGACTCGTAGTTTGGAAGTTAGGTGGATGGTCGCGGGATTACAAAATGGTTGTCCAGAGGGTGAGGAAGGGTTGTTGAGGTGGTTCGGAAATGTTAGAGAGGAATGGGTGAGCGAAACAGAGTAGTGACTTCAAGAGTGTATAGTCTGTAGTGGAAGGAAGGCGGGGTAGGGGGTCAGCATAGGAAAGGTTGGAGGGATGGGGGTAAAGGAGGTTTTGTGTGCGAGAGGGGCTTGACTTCCAGCAGGCATGGGGTGAGCGTGTTTGATAGGAGTGAATGGAGACAAATGGGGTTTTTAATACTTGACTCATGGCTGTTGGAGTGTGAGCAAAGAACATTTATGAATGGGTCAGGGAAAACTGGCAGGCCGGACTGAGTCCTGGAGATGGGAAGTACATTGCCGCACTCTGAAGGTGGGGTGGTAATGTTCAGTTTAAAAACTGTAGTGGTAAAGCGCCCTTCTGGCAAGACAGTGATGGAGTGAAATGGATGGTGATGAAGTTTTTCTTTTGCGGGCCACCTGCTTGGTGGGATCGGCAGTGTGATAATAACAAAAAAAAAAATAAGTTCAAAATCCTTTGATTTGTCTTCCGGGCGGAATGCAGGCGAGGAGAGATCATGATAATATACATTGGAAATCCTAGAGGGAATTTAGTAACCAAAACTTGTTGCCATGAAAATGCACTTATGAAAGACAAGACTTCACAGGAGAGCTACATTCCCCTAATGAAAATCAAGGGGGACCATGAGTGCACTTGAGGGACAACACAATAAGTGTCAAGGGCCCAAGACTGTTCAGTGCCTCCCAGCATACATAGGGGGATTACCAATAGGACCCCTGGCTGTCTTCAAGAAGGCACTGGACAGGCACCTCGTCAGTACTGACCAGCCGAGGCTTGTGGATCTACGGTTGTTCAGCGTGTGTTGTTGTGGGGTGAGAGCGGTTTGGGCTTTGGTAGATGCCAGCAGTAACAGCCTGGGTGATCGACCCTGTGCCACCACGAGGGCATGTTCTCAGACTTGGCCGCAGGGTGTTGACCCCTGAACCCTCTTCCAGGGTATTGTTTTTTTTTTTTTTAAACCTTTTTCCCAGGCATTACCTAGATTAACTGTGAGCTGTAAATTATGGCCTTAAACTATGAAAAAAATGGGGTCTGGCAGTGGCGAGTTGCGTGCAGTAGAAAAAACATCCTAGCCCTAGTAGTGCTTGATGGGAAAGGCAACACAAAACTCTGCCCATGAGACATGGTTGTTAAAATTAGCAACTTTCAGGTGTTTTCTCAGATTGTTTTTTATGGGTGTTAAGAGGCAGGTTCTTGGTATCATCCAATAGAATAATAAGGACGTTACTAATATATATAGAGATGATTTTGGTTGGTTTCAGGATTGGAAGTATCTTGAAAATTGATCTCAAATTAGTAGAAAATACAATATTCGATTTCTCCAGTTTTCCTGAGGCATGTGGTTTTAAGGCTCCCTACACTTTAATCTGTGTTCTGGCTTTTAACTGATCTGATACAACTGGTACACTTGGTAAACCATGACCTATCGCATTGATGGTTATATTTTTTATCTGAGAAAAAGAGTAATCTTTCTATTTTTGTGGATTTATGAATTTTGTAAAATGGATAGGAAACAGTAATATAGGAGAGGCCCTGGGGACATGATTAATGAACAGAGGGAAATGTTGTTTTAGTGCCAGGAATGTCTACATATGCTTATTTTGAATCCATTTTTAAACCAAGTATTTTTCAAATTTGTGTAAAATTGGCCACTTACGCAAAGATAGTTGAATTAGTGAATGGGTGATTTTGTGCACTTATAGAATCAAAGGCACACTAGGAAAACTGCTAAGAATTTGGCAACTGAAGCAGAAGGATTTGGTTTAGAAAAATAGAGACTCAAAGTCGATGAAAATTGCATATGCATAAATTGTTGCAGAGAATGCTACTTTGAACCTGCATAATTCTGTAAATTTCCATCAAATTTTGTACTTTTGGGTGCATTCCCTGTCAGGAAAAAGGTTGTCTCTACCATTCATTTGATACTTTATTAAGTAACTTATAATTAAGTGAATGCTTGCCCTATCTTCGCCATCTCTATTCAGTCATTTCCATAAAACTGAAAGATCACTGAACCACAGTGGCATCGTAAGGGTGAGGGGAGGGGGGGCAGGCTGCCCTGGGCGACCCATAGAGCCTCTAAAGAAGGTGAAACTAATGCCCAAGACAGTGCTGCAGGAAGTAAGAAAAGAATCCTTCGTTTCTATATAACTTCTTATAAGATTCCAGAGTACGAATAGGCCGATACGTATAGGGACAATCATTGATTCTTGACGATGTGTGATAGATGATTTAGAGGACTGAAGGCAAGGAAATGTAAGATCAATTCACTGAGATGTTACCTGTACTCAAGGTCAAATCGGCAACTAGTGTTTTCTGAGACTGCAATGTTTTCTTAATTTTCTATTTTTTTTTTTTTTTTTTTTGCAATGGTTGAGCTGATTAAATGTAGGATCTGTTGCCTGTTACTCAAAGTGCTATTTGAGTTTTGTTTCTTCAGTATTACTATGATATTTATTTCATCATTTAATAAAGTTGAGAAGTATTCTCCTGTTCGGTTTATGCCCTTAACTGTTCTCATTGCTAAGCATTAGTCACTGGGTATGCAGTAGTAACGATAGCTGGAATTTTACTCCCCCCATCCCCCCACCTTGGATTTCATGGGTTGTGTGACACCAAAAAATGCCACCCCGGATGACACCAACCCTAGCAACGCCACTGCTGAACCGTTGTAAATAATAATGTAATTCTTTTTCTATTGACCTTTAGTCTATTTGCTACCTTTCTTACCGTACTTACGATTGTGGTTTTAACTGTACAGAAGTTCTACTTAATAATCTTTGTCTTGTTCTTGCAGAAAACATATAAGGCCTTATGGATATTTGCCTGAAATGCATGCATAAATAAGTGGCTTTCCTTTAGTGCCTACTACTGAACAATCCAAGTAACATTTTTTTTGTATCTGCTCAAGGAAATAACATTATTCTATTAGTGCAAATAGGGCACATGAGAATGTAATGTCAATTGTTCCAAGAACTTGTGTTTGTTACTGTACACAAGTGTTGAAAATTTGAAGCAGGTTGAATGAACTTTGTCGTGTTATGAGTAAAACAAAAATGAAAATTGGAGGCAAAAAAATTCAGGCATACTTACAAGTTGTACCCTTTGGGGATTAAGATCCTAAATAATAATTTTACAGGTAAGTTAATCCTCAAAACAAGTTATCAAAATGTGATGCTGGAGAAAAACAAGATCTTTAAAAAAAAAATCTTGTGCAAATTAATTTCAAGAATGATCTTTAGCAAAGTGAGCAGAGAATACTGCTCATGTCGTTGCTCTTACTAACCTTCACCTAAAAATAACTGGACGACGGGTTTGAAGTGTAGATATCCGATTTGATTAAGGCCAATTTTCCTTAATTTATAAACAAAAGCCTTAGATGTTATGGGGAACTGATGTAACAGGCGGGATGGCTCGGGCAGTCACACCATGCAGTATTTAAGGATTCACTCAACTGCTGGAAATTTTAAAACACTATACAAATGTGAGTTTTCAATATTTTTCAATTTTCTTATGGCTGTTGTATTAATTTGTAAAATTCCTACTATAATCTTGTTTGTAAAATGGAGTTTTTTGTTTCTTATAGATATTCAATTCGATAAAAATTCCAATATTGCAAGTTTAAAACAATACTTATTACAAATGGAACAAATATGCCCACACAGACAGATTATGCAGAAGGGGTATGTATCCTGGCTGTAAGAGTGCAACAGACTTAAATATTGAAGCCATTCAGAAGAGATGGGACACATATTTTGATTGTAAATGATTTAACATAATCAAAATTTCACAGAATTTTACACAAAAATGGTCAAAGCGTGCCAAACTACTCGAAAGTTCACTCTCTGTTTTTGTTAAATTAGGAGGGTACTGTTGTTAGGACATTGCAGCTATGCCTCTCAGAGTTTGAAAGTTATCCAAGTATTTCAGGATGCTAGGTAATGAGTACAATAACTTTCGTCACAGGGCACCTATAAAATGCTGGATTGTTTCTAGAATATGGTACTCCTTACTGAGCAGAAGCATTCAAATTTGAAGCCAATTGGATGAGGGATTCTCAGTGTCAAGGATACTTTGTACAATATTTGAAAAAAAAAGTTATTACTAATCAAATATTAAAATACAGTATTGTACTTTATAATGTAGAACACCACCTTATTTGGTTATTTACCTGGTATTATACAGGGTCCATCAGTAAGGGTAATACTGTCTATGGCAATGTTACCATCTACAGTGTCTGCTCTTGTTCCCTCCACAAGGATGTTGAACAATTCATCTGAAGCAACAGTGACCTGACCATCCATCCACACTGCTCCTTGTGGTCCTTCATGGAACCAAAGTGACTGGAGATCTCTTCCATGCTGGAAGTAATGATAAGAATTTAAAAGTCAAAGTCACACTCAAATTTAAAATTAGGCTATAGAATAAATAAACAAATATTTTAGATGAGTACACACACTGTTTTTTAACTCAATACCCAACTCACCAACACTCAAACAAAACAAACAAACAACTTTATTTCTTTAAAGTTTAATTCTATATAGTTATGCAAAGAATTTTGTGCAGCCTTAAAACTAACCTATAATTCCTAGACAATGAGACATACAATACATGAAAATAAAAACAGTTAATTTATACAATACTGAAAGTATTCAGAAATTAAATAAAAAATTATAATTAAAGATTCATTAAGGATGAAGCTGGGTACCTAAATTTTTACAAGGAAAATGTCTTTCTAATAATAATGAGACTCACTCCATTTACTCAATTCCCATGTTTTCAGATGTGTACTGACATCACAATGCAACATCCCCCTCCCTCCTTCAGAATACAGGCACTGCCCTTCCCACATCAATGGCCATCTGCTAAGGCAGGGTAACCCAAAGAAGAAAACACATTTACTATCATTCATTCAGTTGCTGTTTTGCCAGGAGTGTACTGACACCATAATTAAAAATTATCTTCCAAATGAAACATTCCTATCCCTCTTGCAGACTGCAGGAATTGCCTATCTCACCTCCAGGACTCAAGTTCATTTCAATAGTTTCCCTGAATCCCTTCATAAATGTTACCTTGCTCACTCCAAGAGCAACTCCAATAAAAAGGACTTGTCTCTAATCATTCCTATCTAACATTATCACACATACTACCTGCTGTATGTCCAAGCCCCTAAAATTCAAAGCTTCTTTTATCTCCTCCTCCCTCCAACCATTCTTGAGAAGACCCCTTGCTCTCTTACCTTCTACCCCAAATTAATGCACCCTCATCATTATCTTGTCCTCTTCATTCTCTCTACATACCAAAACCACCTGGACAACCCTTCCCCATCCCCCTGAATTGTACCCTTGGTGACTCACACATTGCCCTTTTATTTCTACACTCTGAACAATATACACTTGCTTATTTACCTGTTGGAAGATATTAAGACCATGGGGTCCATCCAGCATGTAGGAGAAGGAAAAGCACGAAGCATGTGTGGCAGATATCTCCGTGGAGTTCATAACGCCACGTGCATAGGGTTTAACAGTTTTGGTGATGTCCAGATAAGCATAGCCACCTGCAGTATGGTAAATTATTAGAGGCATTAGTGACAAGCACTTCTGCTACTTGCATTTCATAGGCTACATAACAGATAATTAACCCTTAAACGGTCCAAACATATATATACGTTCACTCGCGTAGCGCCCCAAATTTTTTGAGAGAAAAAAAACTTTTTTTTTTAAAGGAAAAAAGAGCATATGGTACCCAGGCATCCCCAATTATTTTAATATGGCACACAGTGAGTGACCCAAACCCATTCTCTCATGTCTACGTGACTCAGGCTTATCGTGGCAATGTTGAATGAATGACAAAGAAAACGTATATATACGTTTGGGGCGCTACGCGCGTGAACGTATATATACGTTTGGACCATTTAAGGGTTAAATAAAGACTGAAGAATTGGCACAAAACATACAATCAATACCCTCATCAAAGACAAGTGGGGTTAGAGTTATATCAGTAATTTTGGAAATGTTGGCAGAGTTTTGAGTCTCACATGAAAAAATTCATTTGGATTCTCAATTTTTAGTTTGATTAACAACTCACCAAACAGTTATATAGTGACAAATGCATTTTGCTCATTTCCTTACTGTCATCAGTATGGGTTCCATCTCTTTTAAGAAAGGGATCAATACTACAGTGGCTTTTGCCCTAGATTTGGCCTATGCAATATTTTGGGTACCATCATTTTCCTTCTGTTTCTTCTGTCCTCTGTAGGATGTATTCAGATTTATCTCACTGGTTTCCATCTCTATGAGAAAGTTAGATGTCTGAGAAATTCAGTAATTCTTTGTCTTTGCTTGTATACAGAGCTTCTCTCTCTTTCTAACTTGCATCTTCTCCTCTTTTTTTTCTTAATGGTATGAATTGGAAGTGCACTTTTAGTACCAATGACTTCATCCTCTTGAGACACTGATTTAAACTCATATGAACTTCTCATTAAAGTCTGGTTTCATCTGATCTCAATTAACTATTTTAATGTTGAGGTTGAATCTACTGCAATAAATACACTCTCATGACTGTTTGTATTTTCATGCTCGGTCCAGAGTGTAGGCAAGTTTTAACTTCAGTCAGGTAGTGATCTAAATCTGCTGAATTCAACACCATTACTTTCCATATCTGACCCTCGTTATTTATGAATATAAAATAGGCATTATAAATATGCACACACATAAACAGATCACACACAAGACAAGGCTGTTGTTCACCATAAACTGTTGTTTTAACCCTTTCAGGGTCGACAGGCCCTCCCCCAGACTTCTTCTCAGGGCCGACAAATTTTCAAAAAAAAAAAAAAAAAATATTTATTTTATGAAAAGACAAAGAATCTTTTCACGATCATAATGACACCAAAAGTATGAAATTTGATGGAAAACTTACGGAATTATGCTCTCTCGAATATAGCGGTCTCGACGATGTTTATGCATCAGCGATTTTGCCCAATTCGAGCCCTTTTTTCGGCCAATTTCACTGTACTAGTCGACAAAAATCATAACTATTTTGCTAGAACTCTATTTTTTTCTATCGAATGAGTACAAGAAACCACCCATTTACCGATTTCAACTATCCAATAAAGTGGTCAGAGTTTAGCAATTTTGCCAATTTCACACAAATTTCAAAAGATGCCAATTTCCAAATAAGATCCAGAATAAACAAGAAAGACATTCCTGGCACTAAAATAACATTTCCTCTATTCATTAGTCACGTCCCAACACCCCTCTTACATTCTTTTACTTTCCACTTTGAATTTTTATTCTCACAAAAAATAGAAGATTTACTGTTATACAGACTACTGCATTAGTGTAGAAATGGTATAAATAATATCAGTGCACTTGTGAAAGAATATTAGACTCACCAGTTGACGTGTAGTGTATGCATAGCATGATTTGTTTACTTTTGAACTTTGGCAAAAATCGAAGATTTCTTCTACTCTGAGTTCAATTTCAAGGTACTTTTCATTGTGAAATCAATCAAAATCATCTCAATTTCTGTAATATGTCTTCCATTATATAAAATGAGACCAGGAAAACTAGAATACCATCATAAATACCATACGAAAATACAGTGCAAAGTCGCTGTTTTAAACCAAAAACACTGTCAAAGTTTTTTTCTCATTACGCACTGTGTGCTGCAGGAATTTTTTTATACTGTGCACACTGACCACATAGACCCATTATTTCATATGTAAGCCTACCAGCTTTCTCTCACTAGTTTTGAGGGCGCTGAATTCAGGCGTACTAGTACGTCAAAACCCTGGTGTTGTAATCTGTACTAGTTGTCAGAAACCCTGAAAGGGTTAAATTTTTTCTTTAAAAATTTGGCCGTCTCCCGCCTGGGCGGGTGACCCAAAAAAAAGAAAACCCCCAAAAATGAAAATACTCTCATCTTTTTATACCTTTCCCCTCTTCTACATAACATGTTTCAGGGTGCCCCAAAAAAAGTTTAGAAGCAAATTTTAAAAATACAACAAAAAAACGCCTGAAATAATATAATAAAATCCCTAAAATAAATCAGGGCCCCCCTTATATAATCAATCCTATTACACATCCCCCCAAACTCCCAAAATTCCCCAAAATTCCCCCTTTAAAGTGCAGGCATTTTACTTCCCATTTCCGAAATCAAGTCAGGCTATAAAAAATTAAAAGGTTTTCCCCGAATCCCCTTTATAAATATTCCCTGCTAGCGAAAAAAAGTTTCCTGGCCCCAAACTAGTATTTCCCCTTTATGCATCCCAAAATCCCTAGGGACTGAAAATTTTCTTTGAAGGACAGAAAAAAACAATCCTTTCACACCCCTTATTGGCATGAGATACTTTGGGGTTAAAGAACATGTCTGTGCCCCAAAAGCTTATTTTATGTAAGTTAAAAAATGTTCTCTTTGGGTTTTAATTTCATGAGTTTCCGGGGCCGTTTTTACCCTCGCTTTTTCAGCTTTTAATACCCTTACAGCCATGTTTGGGAAAATACATACTCATACTTTAATACTTTACATACTACATACATAATTTTAATATAATATATATTATATATATTTTTATATATATATTTTATATATATTATATATATATACGACTTTTTTTTTTCAACAAGTCGGTCGTCCCCCACCAAGGGGGGTGCCAAAAAAGAAAGAAATCCCCAAAAAGAAAATCCCTTCTCATCATTCAACACTTTCACCACACCCCAACTTTATCACGCTTTTGCAGGGGTGCCAAAATACAACGTTTAGAGATATCATATAAGAACACAACATATCCCCCCAAAACTGAAAATACCCCAAACCATCCTTAAAGTGCAGGCTTGTACTTCCCATTTCCAGGACTCAAGTCGACTATATGAAAATTATATATTTAGAATGAAATGGGACCTTTAATTGGGGGTTTTGTGTAGAAAAATTTGGTAAAAAGTAATCTTTTTAGAAAAAAAGGATAAAAAATATACAAGGTATGATGAGCACGAATGAAGTAGTTTGTTTGATTAGTATTGGGGGATAAAAGGTTTATGGGTAGGGGTCGGGTTTTCATGTTTATAGAGGGGCAATGTATGTCAGATCATTATTTAGTTGTAGTCAGTTAGAGTAAGAGGTAATGGAAAAAAAGGAAGGGGGCAACAACAAATAAGGGGGGGTGAAGTGTTAAACAAGGGGGAGGAATTCAGGTGAGAATAAACGATATTTGGGGAAAGGTGGGCTATGCAAAGAGATATGGGGGGTTTAAAGGGGTTGGAATAGTTTTAAAATGCAGTTTTTGAATTGGGGGAAAGTTTGTGGTTTGGAGGGTGGGGGGAGGGGGGAAAGAGGGGTGATTTGGGGAATATGAAGTAAAGGGGGGGATAAAAGAGAAAAAGGAGTTACGAGAGGTTTTTTCAAAGCAGAAGTGTTATAAAAAGAGCGAGTATATGGGAGTAAAAAAAAGGTGAAGAAAGTGGGAGAGAGTAAAAAAGGAGACGATGAAAGAGTGGGGAGGCACTGTCAAAAAATTTTTAAATAAAATAAGAAAAAATTTGGACTGATTTAAAACAAGTTAAGAAAGCCTAGGGAAAGTAGGTTTTGTCCATTAAAACAGAGTGGGGGAGTTAGTAGAGGGGGAGGGGGAGGTTTGGGTAGTGGCGAAATATTTTGGGGAATTTTTAAATTTTGAGGAAAAAAAAGGGAGGCGGTTTTAATTTCATGCACTGGCCGGGGGTATACCATTTTTAAGGAGGAAAGGCGTAATTAATGTGTGGAGGTAGGAGGTTTACGTAAAATGAAGGGGGGGAAAAGCCGGGGAACTGATGGGACTGACAGAAATTTTAAAAAGCGGGGGGGGATATAGGGTTGGAGGGGGTTTGGTACTTTTTTTAAAATAAAGTATGAAAGAGGGAAGGTACCTAGGGTTGGCGGGGCATGTATAGTCCCTTTATATAAAGGGAAAGGGGGACAAAAGAGATTAAAAAAATTTATAAGGAAAAAGTTTACTGGTATACCGGAAAAGTATACGGTAGATTTATAATTGAAAGAATTAGAGGTAAGACAAAAATGTGGGAATTGCAGAGAAAAGGGGTTCAGAGGGGAGGGGGATGTGTAGACAGTGTTTACTTTGAAGCATTATGTGAACAGTATTTGATAAAGGTAGGGAAATTTTTATTGCATTTAGGATTAGAAAGGCTATGATAGGTGGATAGAGGAGCAAAAGTGGCAGATGTTGCAAGTTTATGGAATAGGTGGTAATTTTTCTAAAAGCGTAAAGAGCTTTTATGAGGAAGTGAGGCCCCGGTTAGGGTGTGTAAAAGAGGGAGAATACTTCCCGGGAAAAGTAGGCTTGACAGGGTGTGTAAGTCCCATGGTTTTTTTTAATTTATAGATGGGGGTTGTAAAAGAAGTAAATGTAGGGTGTTCGGAGAGGGGTGGGATTAAATTATGGGGAATAAAATTCAAAAGGGGAAATTGACACAGTTCTTTTTGCGATGATCTGTGTTATGGGGATTCTAAAGAAAATTGAAAAATTAGGGTGATTTTGAGAATTGTGAAAAGGGTAGAAGT